GAATTACTTTTAAAAAAATAAAATCCACTTAAATCTTCCACTGAAGTGAACTAAAAGGTCCATTTAAACAGAATGCTCCCTTAACCATGCTTTACATATCACTGAAGGCTCACTAACTTACAACTACACAGGTTAGCAAAGGCAGATGCAGGGCTCAAAGGGGCCTTCTGGAGTGACTTGACCAATCTGCCAGTAATTTATGCACATGCTCAGAAGCAGCATGCAATCAAAAGGAGCTTTCACCTGCAATACTTAACTCATACCAGACAGATCTAAGGTGAACAACATGTAATTGCTTTCAGTGATACTGAGAGTTGATCCATAAGGTTATAAACCCCTCCTTATAAACACACAGCAGCTACTAAAACTGAAACAGGACCATGCAATAATACTGCATAACATGGGGTGAAAACAGGGGACCAACCAGGCCAAAACCCAAACTGGCCACAGCTGAAATTAAAGACAGCACTAATGAATACTGCAATCCAAAGTCTGGGAAGTAAATGAAATTTTTCCCTGTCCAGTTTGACTGTGGGCTAAGGACACTTGGAGAACTAATGCTTCTTTGAAAGAAATATTTTGTATGCAGTATCTTGTAACATTTTGCAGGAATGGAATATAAGCCATTTAATTCAGTGAATAAAAATGTGAATGAAGTACACAGAGTCAATATCTACCTATCTATATTTAGTATATATGTATAGTGTTAGTTTCTGCTTTATAAGTTTTTTAATGTGCTAATTTTTATAATTTATGTATTTTAGTAGACAACAGTTAAATCTCTGACACTTTATTGTCAACCAAAATAAGCAGGAGACTGGCTGCTAGCACAGGAAAAAACCAGTTTCTCCTGACATTTATAGTTGCAGCTCTTTATCATCATGTACTTTCTAAAAGTGGATTATCCACTTCTACCTTTCAATCAGAAATGGTATTTACAGATTTTAAACAGGTGATGCAGTCATACAAGGGCCTTCTTTAAAAGGAGTTTCTTAAATCCAGCTACCTCATTGTTCATAGGCAGAAACTGTCATTCTAGCTGTGAAGGATCTTGTTTGTCAAAACTGAGAAGAATAACAGTTTAAACTATTTTATCTCAGACAGAGATCAACCGAGTCAACCAATCAAGCAGATGGAAGAAGGAGCAAGCATAAGCTGAATCACAGAATTATAGAACAGCCTGAGTTGGAAAGGATCTAGCAACAGCTGCTTGACCTCACCTTCTGCACAAGGCATCCATGGGATTCCTTTCTTATCCTTGCTAAAATGTCAGATTTTTCCATGTATTTTTTCCTGACAGTAAAACAAATAGAAAAAATTATAAAATAGAATTTTGTGGAAGGGTTCATAATTAACTTGTTAAAGGCAAGAGAATCAGAAATCAGTTACTCATTGTCATTATTACCAAGGGAAAACATTTCTTTCTACCATCTGCAGGATCTGTGCTAATTTTGTACTGTGTTGCTCTCTATTTATATTTATTAGAAAAGCGTTAACATTTAATTATTTTAAAATAGAAGGCTTTTATTTTTTCCCATTAACAGGTGCTACTGTGGAAACTGGCAGCATTGTGCTGGGGTAAAAAGATGGCTAGATTAAGTGTGGTGCATTCAGCTAAACCTATTTTTCTTTTTATTTACAGACTTACATTGTGATTCGGGTTCTCCTTGTGTCTCTGGAAACTACCAGAGGCTGTAGGCAATGCCAACATCTCTATTTCTATCAGAGTAATTTCACTTTTGCACAAATGTTCATGGGTATACCTAATTTTATCCATGTTCTTCTAGTAAAAACCTGTAACTGTGGAAGTGTTTCTGTATGAATAATCTTTCCATATCTCAGGAAATATTTCCTGGGCATTAACATAATTTAATTTAATAACAGCCAGGCAGCACACTTCCCTCAGAGCTTCTTCATGGGAGCCTGCACTGAAATCACTTCCTTGACATAAGACAGCCTTGAAACTCTAACACTTTGCTATAACGTTAAGTTTGTGCAGTGGTAAGGTTTTCCAGTATTAGCCCATGACCTCTGCTGCTGAGGAGAAGAGAGACAAGATAAAGGAAAAAGTAAAAAAACTCTGTTTTGGAGAGATTATGGCAGAAAGAAATCTCTGGAAAAGAGGACAAGCCACAAATGGTGCTGAAGGCAATCCTGACAATCAAGGAGCTACTGGGCTAGAAAGCTAGTCTGCAGGTTTAAATAGCCTTCCAAAACCAGGCTTGAGATTGCCAGAAATTGAAGTTATAATCTACTTAGAGAAGAGCAACAAGAAGGAAGAGAATGTGCATGTTTGAGGAAGAAACTAATATCAGAACTTTGGCTCTGCTGGGCAAGTGCTTCACGGTACTTGGGGCAGGCAATGAATGCTTCACTACTGCCAGACAAATTGAGCTGCTAAAAATCCTCTCCAGGCCATATTTCTTCCCTTGCAGCTGCTCAGAGTGATTCACACCTTCATCTTGCCAGATTTCTGGACAGGTCATTTACACTTGATAGGCTCAGTTCCCCATCTGTAGGACCGAGATAATGATGCTTCCCCACCAAAGAGAAGTGCTCTGCAGACAAATGTGGATGACTATTTAGGGACAGCCATGTCAGAGCCTCTATGAATTCCTAAGGCATGAACTTTGTGTCCTCCCTAAAAGTAACAAACAAGAGCAGCCTTTATACAGACAGGATGCACAATGAACATGAGATGGAAAGGCTCAAGGTATTATGTTTACTCCCCAAACAGACATTTCTTATTATTTTCTCTGCATCTCCTCCAGGCTGTGGAGCCCCTACTGAAATAATTAGCTTCCTGCCACCTCAGCTCAGGAAGGCTGATGGAAAGCATGAGGAACTTTTTATTTTTCCTTAAGCCTGCCACCAAGTCAAATCTTTTCATTACCAAGGGAGCTGCTGCAGGAGCTACCTTTCATTCCCCAGAAAGGACAGAAAGAAGGAATTCAGCTGTCACACCACAAAACTTCACCAAAATAAAAAGGAAAGGAGAACTGAATCAGATGCACAACTTTAGCCTGTTTCCTAAGAGATGCAAGATGAGAGCTGCAGCTATGAGCCTTGCTTTGGAAGGAAGCTTTGCAGAGCACTACCACAAACACGTCTGCATTTTGAAAGCCAGGGCCAGTGATCTGCATTCTGAAAGGCACAAAACATCTGCCTTTCAGAAAACATGGCACTGTGTGCCAGGGCAAGCAGTGGCCTTCTGGGATGTAATGGCTATTAAAAACAAACAGAAAACTCCAATACAAAAATAGGCTCAGGAATAAAATCTTGAAATACCACTGACTTTGATTCCATTCCTCAGGGTCACCATCTTGGTCTTCTCCCCTTTTGTACACATCCAGCACTCCTGATGCTTACCATCCCTGGGAACTGCATCCAGCTGTACAAAGGCAGGTTACTGCCCACCACTAATGGTCAGTGCCTACTCCTCTTGGTAATAACACTTTGAGGGCATACTAGAAAAGAAACATCCTTTCTTTCAGTGGGAATTTGGGAATATTTAACAGCATACTGTGCAATGGAACCAATGTAAACCGTAGCCCAGTATATATTTTTTAAATGACCTAATGACATTGTGTGTTCCATCCACAGATGGCGTGGGAAGTGCCACGGTGACGGCTGAGGTGTTTTAGCAGTTTGCCACTTACTACTCAGAATAAATAGGCAGGATGTTCCCTGGAGCCAGGATACTGACAACACAAGCAAGAGACAAACAAGTATGCTGAATATGAAGCAATGGTTACACTTTATTAGATCTGTCAGTAATTCTGTCACTCCACAGGAGGCACAATTTGAGCTCATGTAACCTGTATCTCTGCCCCATTAATCCTGACTAACAAGTAGGAGGTGATAACTGTTGCAACTAAGAAACAAAATTAAATATAAAAAATCTACATTTAATAAACACCATGCAGTTTATTCAAACACCCTCAAGGAAGAAATCTGGACCCAACCAAAGGATGATAATCTTATCAACTGTATCCTAAATGAGGCCTGATGTACAAGTCTAAGTAATTTCTCCACAAACATAGATGATAACGTGTACTCTGATGATTTGTGACAGAAATGACAAATTTTCTTACATATTTTAGTAGGAAAGTCATAATGAAAATACAATTGAAAACTGGAAACAGGATAATGAATATATTTTTGATTTATAGTATTTTTCATTTATAGAATGAAATCACAAAGTGAAAAATAAAAAAAACGCCTATATCTCACTTATGTTTTGCATATTAGATACACTAGCTTAAGGGCAAGGTGAAAAAAAAAATCCAAACATTTCATATCAGTCCTGTTTGACAGCATTCCTGTATTCCTGAACACCAGCACTCCTCCCCTCTCCCTTCAATTTCAGAAAGGAAAAAATCCACACAATCTTAAAAAGACCAGATCCTCCTACATCAAGAAAAGAAATAAACTACCACTACCTGCATGCTCTGTGTGCAACACATCACATAGCATGCTAGCAAATATCAGACAAAAGGCGATGTCCACACCTCTCCAACACAGTTTTCCACTTTCTGGTAAGAACTCCAAGAAAAGCAAAAAATCCCTGAACAAATCCTCCCTCTCACAACATCACTACATAGGATATAAAAGCAATGAGTAACAGTTTCTAAGTCAATTCAGTAAAATATGGCTCTTGCCTGGCCAGCCCTACACCAGACAGGAGGGAGAGCAGAGGATCCCCACCAGAACATATCCATGTGTGGAGTACATCTCCCACAAGAGCACTCACAGATAACCAAGAACAAAGTGAACCAGCAATGACAGGCATAAACCATACCTACATCTGTAAACTGCATGATATTGAAAGCCATTCATACATTACATAAATCCAAAGCTTTGAAATTATTGAAAGCTTTTTGTTATGGCAAACAAGATGGTCATGAAATGGTTACTGATGGAGCAAGTGGCATGTGGCACAGAACTGTGCTTGCAAGAATGACAGAGAGTTTGAACAAAAAATATTGAAAAATTCAAACCTGTGACCAGTTCTCTGATTTCCAAATCCGTAGTCTTGCGGAGTAACCGTACTAATGCTGGGATACCACCACAGTTTTTCAGAGCTATTTTGTTGTCATCATTTGCCTTCCCATATACCAAGTTTCTCAAAGCTCCACAGGCACTACGGTGGACTTCTGTCATCCGATGGTCCAATAGGTCCACCAGTAATTGTATTCCGCCTTGTCTTCTTATCTGAAACAGGCCAAAGTGATAATCACACAGTTAGGCAATGAACACCAGTACCAATACATGCTGTCCAATGTAATGAAGCTGTGTTTTATGCAGGCTGCAGCGCAGTAAAGGTGTGCTGGTAACATCACAGAGCTGCTACATTTCACTGCCTTGATTCCTAGTATTATTCTTTCAGTGGCAACAAAACTGTACACTGACAAACCAGAACTTCTGTAAAAGCAGCCAAAATTAGTCAAGTGTTGCCTCATCAGGGTTTCTCACAATTCGTCAAGGTTTGCCTTGGCAAGAGTTTCTTCTGTGCTAGAGAAACATCATCTTCTTCAGAGTGTAACACATCACAAGCTAGAGAAAAAAACACAAGGCTACAGCAAACAAAATAAAGCACTTAACATCATACAGTTTTTAGGCGTCCTGCCTTTATATTTTTTTATTACTGGGAATGGGAACAACTACTGTAGTCTCAGTAAGGACATTATATCAATTAAACTGGGATGAGCAAAGATGAAAGGAAAAGGAGGAACCACCAGAAACATAAAGATAAGGATATGAAATAAATTGTGGTAAGCTGGTTCTAACAATATTGAGGGAGACCCTTAAGTGATGCAGGAGCAGAAGTCTTATGTGTACCCAAGATGCCTACAAAATAAATTTCTAATATGATATCTCATATAAAAATAATTCTAAAAAAAGCATATCTAAAAAATATTTGAGAAAAATTATCAAGAAGGTCAGGAATACTAAGTACAATTTATTATGAAACCATTTCAAACAAATACTTTATTGTTCTGTGGTACTATTTGTTCCTCAAAGATTAATGATTTTTGGATCTAATTTTAAGAAACCACACAGGTTCGTAACTAACATCTGAAGAGTACAATGCTTTAGCTTCAAGCAAATTACACAGACAACTCCGAAAAGGCCAAGAAATTTCCCTGTATGTGTTGTTGGCTAAGGCCCAAAACAAGCCAGGCATTTCAGTTGGCCATTTTACATTTAGGACAACAAAAAATAATTTGAAATATTTGTGAAGCAGTGTTTGCATGGACGTGTGTCCTTGGGACTCTGCTGGGGGAAGTCTTGGAAGAAGGAAACAGTTAAAATACAATAAAATCTATTAGGAGTTCAAGCTTAAAAGTAATGGCTATACAGTTACCACACAGCTTTGGTCTAAATGCCGAAGTGATAGTGTTTAAAGATAAACTAGGATATTTTTCCTTAAATAGGCATTATATCAGTACTAATGTGCAACTTTCTGAGCAACATGCAGGTCACCTCGAAGACTGCAGCAGCTGGCATTACATGATGCATGAAGAGATATGAATGAACATTGGTAAAATATATCAATTTCAGGCAGAAAACTTCACCAATCTTTTTGAGACTTTATGCTTCTGCTGCTTTGAGAAACCATGACCTCTTTCAGTTTAGAAATGAGAAAAGCAGGTCAAAGAGAAAAGGTGCTGTAAATTATATCACTAGTCAAATATTTTCCATGTGAACAGGATGACTTGCAATTAAATAATTAGCTCATTTCTGAACCAGAAAAAAATTGACCAAGTTAATCTGGGAGAGACGTGGGGTGAATCTTGCTTGTTTTTTTTTGTTTGCTTGGCTTCACAATCCATTACCATTTAACCTTCATATAAAAATACATTTGCTTCCCCTACTAACCAGATTTTAAAAACCAAGCATGCTACATGAAGAGCCACCTACATGACAAAACGGATGACATTTACTAAAAAGACTAGGAACAAAAATTTATGCATCAGTTCTACAAAAGGTGAATCAACCACAGAGCTTCACACTTCAACCTTGGAAAAGAAACAAGATCTGATAGAAGAAAGAATACAGTTAAAAAATATATGAGTTGCCTGGTGTGATGAGTAATATCAGGAACGACAGAATGAAAACATGCCTGCTATCTTTGTGAATTATATTTTTAAACCACAATATGGTGAATGAATACTTTAATTGCTTTGCTGCTAAAAAAAAGAGTAAGAATGTGAAAAAGTATTAATTTGTAGAAAAAATCATTCTGTGTGCTACAATTCAGCTAAAGACTCAGAGGGCTCTGTCTCCATTCAGAAGGACTCTGTGCTTATGCTGTTTTTCCCACTCTTTCCCTTGCACACAATCAAGTGGCATGTCATGCTCCCCAGCAGTTTATCCTGTGGGTGCTCTCAGGTGATAGGCTTTGCTATCTTACCCTCATTTCTACAGGGAAATGTGTGGTTCTGCTACACTGAGACTATTCCTGAGCTGCACCTTCCCTTTCCAGTTATGGTAGCTGACAGCACACTAGTGTTCAGCTCATGCAGCTCCTCCTCTCCCAGCAACCTAAAGCCAGCAGCAGACTAAAGTGATTCAAAGATAGTTTCTTAAAAGCAAAGGCATTAAATATTAATCTAAAATGCATTTCTGTCAGAAAAAAGGGTAATACAACAGAAATGAAACTGTTGTTACATAACGCTTTACATAACTTGACAAAATTTCTTGAATTTTACTGAAGAAAGAACCTATTCTTACCTAGGAAATAGAAGATTTATTTTACAAACCTTCCTTGAATTTCCAAGCTCAGGTATTTGGCAGAGTAAGTGTGTCATGCAGGGAGAGATGGAGCTGATTGGTCACAACTAGGAGCCCAGTTTCTGATGCTGTTCTTTATCTGGACTCCTCTCTTGCTTTGGCTGTTTTGTTTTTTTTACAACAGGACTTTATTCACCCCATCTTCGTGCTTCTATCAAATATCTATATAGATGTTTAGAACTATACTCTCCAGCAGTTTAAGTAAGCCTGACAAATTGTGAGATTGTGATGGATGTTAGCAGGATCTATTTAAATGTATTGAAATAGATGCAAAGGACATGAAATTATTTGTTCAAGTCCTTTAGGGAGCTAAGAGCCATAGCCAGGAGGACAATTCTGACCTAGTCTCATGGGGCAGATCTCAGCTAAGTTAGTCACAGCTCCAGTGAATTCAGCAGTGCTACTGCCAAATGTCTATGCCAAAAATGCCTGGATGGATGGATGGATAAGCAGCAATTTGCACCAATGGGACATCAAATCCCAAATCCCAATTTGATACTTCTGTCTCTTTCCTAACTTAAGATGAAGAAAACATTTCTTAATACAATATTTACTGACATATTAGTGGCTGCTGCCTTGTTACATCTAGGAGGAAAAGAAAATAGAGTATGTCAGCGTCTGCCTAACAAAACAAACAGTGGAGTACCAACTTGTCAGGAGATACAGAGGACCAACTCTATTCTCACACAGAGCAGCCCCAAGGTAGCCATTTCTGTTCCCAGAAGAATGACCTTCAACTCCCCAGCAACTGAGTATGCTCAGTTGCATCTACCCATGTCTCAAATGCATTGTCCCCTTTTTACACCATCTTTTCTCAAAAATAAAAAAAGAGGATCAGAGGAGAAGGATTAACAATATTAACAAGGCTGGGTGAATCCGTGCTGTGTTCTTTCTCATGACTCTCTTAATCCATGGATACCAGTAATTTCTGAAAGTTATTTTCTTTCCTTTTTCTCACTGAAAATATTTTGTGGATGTCTTAGGAAGACACTGTTAGAGAGCTGTTAAATACAGAGCTGTGATTAGGAATCTATGCCAATCAAAGTGAAAACTGAAAGAACAGTGATTACATAAATTTTGGGAAAAAAACTATTTCCATGGAAGAATGCATCTTCCTTCTTTCATCTGAGGAATCATGTTTTCTTTTACCAGGATATCTTCAAACTTTCCTTTAAAGTTGGCTCTTTGCCATTCATGTCACTGTCTACTTGCTGGCCACAAGCACTTGACCAGGCTCATTGATGCCAAAACACAGGCAGACAGGACAGGAATAGGTGCCAGACTCTCTAGTACACAGACTGACAAAAGTGCACTCATGTCAGCTTGATGACAGTCTTCTCCTCTGGCATAATACAAAGTTTTTTACATTACATCTAAGAACATGTATTCGCATCCACATTATGAAAATAAAACTTAGATTCAAGAAGGGATTCAGGTTGCTTCTGGAGGCAGTGAAGATGTCAATTATGTTCTTAGTAAGGACAGCTTCTATACCCCATGCCAAGAGCCTATGAGAAATTAATTTATCTGTTTCAAGGTTTATCTTTGAGTCAGTGGTGTTCATCCCAAGAGTGGACTGTTAGACACTTAATCTACCAGGAGTTACACATGACCAGCCTGAAGCATATGTGAGGATAAAAACAATTCAATAAGACATCGACAATATGTCTGAAACTGTCTCTATATACATATATATATATATATATATATATGCTTGATTACTGCAAGATTTTAGCAGATGAATTCTTGATAGCCTGCTTTCCCAATTCAATACAACAGATTGTCTGAATATGTGGAAGGAAATGAAATGCAGGATGTGAAAGGGTATGTAGATACTTGGAATGTAGAGGCACCTGTTTTGTGAGGACATCTGCTCAGTGGCTGTCCAGTGTATGAACAGAGATGAGATGGGAAAAGTAATAAACCACACTGATGTACACAAACCCTGCAGAGCAAGGGACAATGCCAAACACCAGGTCTGGGAGGTCACTGCTCAATGGGCTGCCGAAGGAACCACTCCAAGGCTTGGGGAGGTTCAGCCTGAGCTTTGTTAACTGGTAAAGTGGGGACACAGGGAGGAATGAATGGAAAGGTCCGATGGTAAAGAGCGTGCTGATGGGATTGTGGCAGTGTGCCAGACTCACAGGATGTTTAACAGAAGGGCAAAGATAGGAAAAGGGAGTCATTCCAAATGCATGGGGGAGGAACAACATGAGGAAATAGAAAAAGGGCACAATGAAAGGGATTGGTCACCTGTAAGTAAGCTGTGCTTCACCATGCGTGTCTGGTCACACTCCTCATTTGATCACTGCACCTTGTTTTACCTTCTTATTAATCCTAATTGCTAACAATGGCATAACACTAGTGAACCTTTAGCTGGAATAGCTGAGGTGAACAGGAGATGTGGGAAAGAGCTA